TCTCCCATTTCAGTGCGCGTTTGCTTAAAACCCACGGTAATCTGGCGTCAACGCTAAATTGTTTGCCAAACAATTTCGCCAAGAATCGGTTAAGTGACGTCACATGTTTTTATCTTTGCTACACCCGTACCGCTGTACCGCAGCACCGCTCCACGGTTGCTTGGCAGAGCAACGCAAAAGTGTAAACAACATCGAAGAATTTGAACAACATTGGAGGTATTTTCAAATGCCTTTTATAAGTCAACGCGCAGTGAAATGGGAGGAACTAGTTTATTTTGCCATAAGGTAGTGTGATTATGCATGACACGAAGTATTTGCTAGTCTAGTACTGGAGAAATTAGCATTTGGATGCGCATAGTGCGGCTTTAACTTTGATATCTTGAAATTTGCCACCGAACGAAATTGTATTTAATGAAAGACACTGCTGCGTTTATAGAAACACGATTTTGCAATTTAAATTTCAGTTTAATTCGAGTTTAAAATTAGAACTAGAAATTAGAATTAGAACTAGAAATTAGAACTAGAACTAGAAATTAGAACTAGAGGTGAAATGGGAGGAGGAGCCTTTGAATCTATCACGCACGTTTTTTCCCAAACTGGCCATTACCTCCTTTGTCTAATTTTCCCTCAGAAGAAACCCTGACCACATCCATGATTCAACCCCCTAAAGACCATTTTCCTTCGTATTACCCTACCTGCGATATCCGTCCCGCTCTGCACTTACCCTGGGCCGACAGAGCCACTAGATAGTCATTCAGCGAGTTGTTATCCGACGCGATCTTGAGCGCGCCGCCAACGTTTCCCTTCCAGATCTCCAGCCAGACCTCATAGTCCACATTCCCAATATCCCTGTGGTGCTCGCCTGTGAGGTAGCGAATATCAGCAGTATGATCATGCAATCATGACATGTACACACAAGTCTAGTTAACAATGTGTTGTACCAGTTTCTGATTAAAAGTGTTTAAGTGATGAAGGGAGGAGAGAAAGCTTAAAGAGTATGTTAATAGCAACAAGAAGACTAACCCCATCACACTAAGGTCTCTGTATACAGAGAGTTGCGCCAACTCAGGATTTGACGCCATGTTGTTTCCAAATGGATCCACACCGCTGCCGCTTAAGTACAGCGCTGTATGGATACGCTGTACAATATTCCGTAGTAATTAATTAGACTAATCGTGCTTCAATAAACTCAAAATTTACAGAGATTATAGCTAAGACATGTGTCTATGTGTATCTAGATTTCTAGAAATGTAACTCAAATTGTTCGCGCCATATGATAATTTAATTGTACACTTTCTTATGGCCATAGCCGTGCGTATCCATTTGGAAACAACATGTCGACCAGCGACCACGTGACCGATAGTTTTCCGACTCTTCATGGCGCAACTCTCTGTATATAGGGACCCTACATCACACATATACGAGGGGAGACTACACCTACAGCAAGTTACACCCGGTAAACACCAGAGGTCCCAAGTTGGGAAAATCCAAGAAAGGGATCACTTGTGATAATGGTCCATCGCCGTTTTTTCACGGTGCGCAAAAACGGGAAAAAATTTGTGACGGGCTGCAACATGTGTTTGTCGCGGCGCACCACCATTTTTTATAAAGTATACATGTAAAATAAAATGCAAATTCATGTTCATTTATGCCTTTTATTGTTCGCTGAAATCAAAGTACATCAACAACCACAGCAAATTTAGTAATTTACTGATGTAAA